ATGAAAGATTGATATTTGATTGGTATCATAAACCAACTTTTTCTGGACGATACCTCAGCATTTTTTCTAACCATCCGAGTAGCTAAAAAAGGGAGTAGTCATGGGATTAATTGACAGAGCTTTCAGACTATCCCATTCTAATTTCCACAAAAAAATCTGTTTCTGGCTATTACACTTTTACTTGAAAATGGTTATCCACTGGACTTTGTTTTCGCGATAATCTTGGAAAAGCTTAAATCTCTTTTTAAAAGATTTTCCCCCGGAGCCTCCCGACGACGATGGGCTAACCAGCAGGTTTTATTTGTCTGTCCCGTATGTAAAAAACATTTCAGAGAAGTTTACTCATCTCGCTGGTATTATGGACAAAAAATTGAGTTTATATGGCTTTAACCGACTTAATGACCTCATTAAAGTACACAAGGATACTGTTGATAATGCTTCTCAGAGCAACGTTGTGTATCGCATTAATTGCTCTAATTTTGATGCGTCTTATACGGGACAGACCGGTAGACTTCTGGGGACTCGTATCAAGGAGCATAGGCGGCTGAAGAACATTTGGTAGTGCAGGTGCACTGTGTGGATCATAATCACACGTTTGATTTCGGGAGTGCCGCAATTCTCGACAAAGAACTGTTCTATGTTAGACGCCTGGTCTCTGAAATGTTGCATATCAGTTTGCAACATAACGGTCAATTTACAGACAGACACTGCCTTTTTAGGCGAATCATATCTCCCGGTAATAAATAAAATAAAACGTTTCATTGTTTGAGTAAATCCGGTGATCTCTCTTGGCGCGACCGTCTGTCCTTTCGGCGATGTTTGTTTCTTAAATATTACACGTCCGCGTGTTCTTGAGATCATGACGTGCGGTTTCGAACTCACATTCGTAGTTCAGACACCAACGACTACATAACGCTCTCTCCAGATGAGGAATGGCTATGGATGCCATCAGAGACGTTTGACCCGGGTTCGCGCAACACGCAGTAAGTAATCGTATTTCTATCTCTTATAATGTTCCTAACATTTACGGCATTCTGTAGTTCTGTCGGGCCACAGTTTGCTGCTTTCTCGTCTCCTTCTGCAATAGAAGACGACATTGATTCTCGCTGTCGATTGCTGCGCGGATGGACTCTTATAGCCCATTAATTACTTAATTTGTTTAAATTTGTTTATTATAAATTTTATACGTTTTTAAATTGTAATATTTTACATTAGTATGATACATACACATACACACCACACTTAGTTAAAAAATTATGTAATTCCATTCTGATTTTGATTGTAATAATAGCAGGCAGAATGTCGATTTCCAAATAGGTTTCCCCTTAAAAATCCTGCGCGATCACCCCCGCATTTATGTAAATTTGGATGCACAATACAAAGGTACAGGTAACAGGAACAAGAAATATCACAAGCAATAGATTTTCAACTTATCGAAACCTGTGTATCAGTGCTGTAGCATTTATATACAGCTTCCGATAGGTTGAAAATCTATTGCCTGTGTTATTTCTTGTTCCTGTTGCCTTTCCCTTTGTATTGTGCATCCAGCTTAACACCCGTGAGCAGTACACACACATTACACATACATTCCATACATCCACACTTTATCTGGATTTATTTATTATTTGTACAATTGCCTGATTCTCTTTACTCAATGTCATTAGTCAATTCTATGTTAATTTGTAATAAATGTTCTATTTATTTTTAAGATTAAATTCAATGTTTATTCATTTTAAATAAGACCTCGCCCTCATTTCTTCACCGCTCTCAAATTCGCACAAGGTCTGATCCTGAGTTAAAAGGATTAAATTTCCTGGCTCAAAAGAGGACCAACGATCGCACTGCTCACGGAAGGCGTCCTATCGTCCTTACGGACGTTAACCCTTTCTGAGCCATTGAAAGTGCGTTCAGCTCACGCCACGCGCCTCAGAGCGTGTTTCTTTCGCTTCTTAGTTTTTCTTATCTTAATTCTGGGGTTGGACGTAACAATTGTGACGTGACAATGTCGCGTCCTCCGCCCAGACGATAGCTCGGCCGAGGGGAAGGTCGGGGATGGCGCCTCGACTCGAGTACGGGAGGGCTAATTGCGTTAACTAATTATTTTCTCTAGTTAGATTTTGTAGGAACGACAGGTGGTGCCGGAGCAGGAGATTGACGACGGAAAATGTAACGACGTGAGTCGCAACGAGGGAAGGCAGAACACTGAGGGGACGCTGGAGTGAGCGGTTGACCGGCGAGCAGGTCACGCGGGCCCCCGCCCCCGAGGCGCATAGCAGGTCTCGTCCAGCACATCCCTGGCCCCGTGCGTCGCAGCATAAGGAAGGGGTACGTCACCTCTACCACGGAGCGAGTAGTCCGGAAAGTATTAGAAAGCCCTCATCGGAAGCTCAGATGCGGCCGACAGTCAATTTGCGTTTATTGTATTGTATTGCGTGTTTGTGAACAGAGGCGTGCCGTGAACGGTGCGTATCGTGGAATACCGTGTGCGTTGTTGCGAACGTGCCGGGATAAGTGTTATTGCGTGTTGAGAGGAAAAGCGTATCGCGGGCCGTGCGTTTTGGGAGAGATTCACGTACTCGTGGAGAGCCTCGCGGATACTTTGCGTCATCGTTTGCGCGGGCAAGTATCGTCGCGCTCATTGTGAGTATTAGAGTCGTATCGTGAACATTTTGTGTCGGTAATTGCAAACATTAGAGTCGTGTCGCGGATATTCTGCGTCGCTGTGCGAGTCCCGCGAGCGTTAGAGTCATATCGTGGACATCCTGCACTATTTATTGCGCATATTTGAGTCATAGCGCGGAGACTTTGTGTCGCTTATTGTGAGTATTGTGAATATTGGAGTCGTATCGTATTTTGTATCGTTTACTGTGAATATTGAGAGTCTCGCGGACGTTATAGCTGTGTCGCGGAGATCGTACGTTGTATTAATTGCCTGAGAATCCGCGGCGAGATATTCCGTTACATTGAACCCGCGGAGACGAGGCCCATATTTAAAACTGAAATACATTATTATTATTTTTGTTACTTATTGTGTGCTGATTGCGTTACGCTTCTTCCTTACTTTCCTCGTCAAAAGACGTAACTGACGCCCTGAGTTAGCGTTCACGTGAGATATATGTGTTGAGCCGGGAATCGAGTTGTGGAAACGTGGTGCGCGTAATTGCACCTGGCGCCCATTCGGATTGTTTCGTCGAGGATAGAATAACGCTGATTTCGCGAAGCTACCGTTTTCCGACAGGTAACTTGCGGCTACGCCCCTTCGGCTAGCGAGATCGAAGGAAATCGGGTCGCACAATACATTAACGAATAAATAATAATACACGATACGTATTTGCCTCATAAATATTATGGCCAAAACTCGAACAAGTCATGCAAATTTATGAATTGGCTGGGCATTTGCAGATTCTTGAAATTTTGTAAAAAAATTTTATTTAAATTATTTCGCATTCTAGCTAATACGGACTGGCTGTAAAGGTCAGACTTTGAAGAATATAGTAAGTCACATTATTATTGTGTATATTTAAAAAGTAAATGATTTCATTGATGGAAAAAGGGCACATAGGCTTAAGTCATCTAAATCGACTCAGATGTGTTATACCTATATATAATATACAAAGGACATGTGCTTTCTCTAATGTTTACATTACACAAATGCTGTTGTACTGCCGCGATCCTGAAGATTCGCGCAGCAGTGTGTAGTTAAAAAAGATTATGTGAACATACCTTTATATAACTCATTGAAACTGCAAGTGACAAAAATTATGCATTCCAATTTGTAGAATGTCTTACTTAAAAAATTGAATTTTAAAAGATTATTTTAAAAAATTAAATTTTTTATTTATTTTTTTATTTTTTTATTTAAACAATAGATAAAAAAGTTGTAAACTAAATAGGTAATTACATTTGAATGAATAAACAAAAAAAGACCATTTTTTACGATTTTTTTACCATTTATGAAAAAAAGGGCACATAAATCAATTGAAAAAAAAAAAAAAAAAAAAAAAAACTTCAAATCACATGACCTCTGTTTTCAGAACGTTTAAAGAATATGTTACTACATTAAAAAAAAAATTGGTTTTAATTGCATTACTTTTTATTAAGTAATACTCTAATAAAAACTTTAAAGTCGATTTTCTCGAAATAGCATTTTGGCGTATGTGCCCTTTTTCCATCAATGGCCTTATTAATATTTATTGAATGTTTATTTCTCTTATACTATACAATATTTTTTAAATTTATTAATCTAGTTTTTAATAAATTAAAATTGTAATTATATACTAAAATTACTATAAGTTTAAACAAAATTATTAATTTTATAACATAAATATTAAGATATAATTTGATAATTATTTTTATTTAACCATCTCTCTCCTTCCCCTTCCCCTCCCCTCTTATCACCCCCTCTCTCTCTCTCTCTCTCTCTCCCAAGATTAAATTTTGTAAAATTTCATCACTTTTTGTATTGTACATACACTACCGTTAAAACATTTGGAAGCACTACCTTTTTAAAAAAAACCACAGTGGTACCAATAAAATTCTTTAAATATCCTTGGAAAATGATTAGAAACAAATAATACTGTGTTCAATAGTTAAAACCAAAAACACAGTAAAGTTTCTCGTATATAACGTTTTTCTTTAAAAGTATTGACCAAACTTTTGAACTAACATAATAGAGAAATACATATATTTTTATGTTAAAACTTATAATCTCTAACTTGACTTCACCTAATTTAATTTAATTTAACTTAATTTAATATTTATTAAGCTTATTTAGATATTTAGCCACTAATCCTTGATTTTTTGTAAATATATATCTATTTCAATGTGCTGTAAAAATTTTCTATAATACTGATTATTTCTTTCTCCTTGAAGCCTATAACATCTTAATTTATATTTTAATTTATTGTAAAACTTATTTCTTGAAAAAATAATAAATAAATATATATACATATTTATGTGTATATATATTAATCTATATTAGTATATGTATATATATTAATCTATATTAGTAATCTTGTTACAATAAATTAATAAAGTTCCAATTAATCAGAACGAATAAATTAAATCAAAATAAATAGGTTCCACAATGTTAGTGTTTCAGTTGTCTAGTCAATAAGACACAGCCAATTCTAAAATTAGTTGCCTAAAGAATAATTACAGAATATTTTTTTAACTCTGATTAAAATTGGTCAAATTCGAAATTGATTGGTTTTATGAATTATTCAGATTTTGAATTATGGGCACATATATGTAAAACATATACTAATTATATAGAAGTCTAACTTCTCTACAGTTGAGCTACACAACTACAAGACGAATATATCTGATGCCGAATAATTATTATCCATTATATAGCGAATTTTTTTAGAATGTAATAACGAAGGTTATGCCTAACAATAAAAAACAATAAAAGTGCAAAAAAGTGACAAAAAAATGTAGAATATTTCAGAAGATAGGAACATCGTGCTATTGCAGGCATCTTTAAAACAAAGTGTGCATTGCTCCATTTTAAATGTCGCCAAATCATTTAGTTTATCTTCCATCGTCTTGCATGGATCAAAGTGTTCTGTTTTAGCTCTTTGGCACGTTCTTATAATAACATCTTGTTTCGGAATAACTGGAAAAATACATTATATTTGAATTAACTTTTCTAAATATACATATTCTATGCCGTTCATATTATTTTTTACGCCTTGCAAATATCTTTAAGTACTTACTTTTACTATTATTAAAGATCATCATTTTCGCACAAGCCATCTCCTGGGGAGCGTCTTGATAATGCTGAAATATTTCATCAACTTCAAAAAATGATGCAACCGATTTCAGGCCATTGTGTTGCTGGATGCTTCGTTGCCATTCCTGTATATTGTTAACAGTACATTCCATTGGTTGTAACTTTGTTGTCAAATTGTAACCACAACCTTCGTTTGATAATGAAGTGCACATGTAGCATTTTAGCGCATTTTCTATAAAAGAAAATATGGATAATAAGCCGCACCGTATCAAGCCGTTTCAAAATGCTTATATGTCACATATATTCTTCTCTTTCAAATATTTAAACTTGAAATTAGATAAAAAGAATTTATGACTATGATAGGCATAAGAGCCTACGTTTCGTTCTCTGCCATCAGCCTAAGGACCAGAGCATAAAGATTATCGTAACCGTTTATGACTCTGTCGTAAGTCATAAGCCGGTGTCGGAAGTCAACGCACAAGGATTGACGTTAGTGTATGTCGTATCCGTCGCGTATGCAACACGATGGGTATGACATACGCTGACGTCAGGTCCTTAGGCTGATGGCAGAAAACAAAACGTAGTAGCACGGGAGCCCACGACCAAAACCATATGTTATCGCTTCCCGTTTAAAATCATGTAAAATCGATAGATGGACGATTCTGTGGACTGGACTAGGGGGTTCGGGGCCGACCATCCGCCGGGCGAGGAACGGGCACAGTGTGCCTACCTTCTCTTTTTAAACGTAGAAACATTGTTAGGATAGTTGGACTCGCGATCCGCGGCACTGGGTCAAAAAGCCGAACGAAGCCGACGTCGCCCGAACACCGCCGAGCGCGATCGCGGCGTCGGGCATCTCCGGATCACATCGTCTAACCCGGCGTACAGTGGGGCAAACGTCTCATTTTTTGGTCATTTGCTTATAACTTCCACATTTTTCAATGAAATGATTTGAAATTTTTGAAATTTGACATAAATAATATACGATTACTATATATTTAGTGTATGAAATCAAAATTATTTAATTAACAATTTTTCATAAAGCGCATAGATAATTATTCCATAACTGTAACGTATGAAGTGAATTGAATATGTAAAAATGAGCTATAATCAATATATAACATTTTTTTAAATAACGTCAATTTAATTTTCAATGATAGTCTTAAACCTCGGAATGCTTAATTTTTGTGAGTTTTATAACAGAAAAGGAACTGTTTTTCTTGCTTCTCACATCTATTTCTTGAACTTAATCATCATAATCTACATCATTATCGTTGAAATATAATAAATATTTTGCATCTTTAGTTAATTCTTTCTTTTTATGCCTCATAATTTTTCGCGAATTAGATATTATTGGATCTGAAGCAATCATCAAATTATTAAAAATATCTTCATTATTTTGTATTCGCGACATTTTTCGCGAATGACTTTCTCTATATTTCCTAAAATATTTATGGTTTGCTTCCTGAGCATCTTCAAATAATTGTCCCATTGGTACGATAGCATTTTTTATAATATTACTGCCATCTATATATTCTATAGGTATATATAAGTACCGTCATCTGTATGTTTGTATGTCTGTATATATCTATATACATATATAAGTACCGGACGTCTATCTGTCTCTCTGTCTGTCTGTCTGTCTGACCGCGAACTATTTATTCGTTAGTGGACCGAATTTTTATCAAGGGTACATGAAATAGGGGTAGAATTTCTCGGGGAGTGCCATAAAGTGTATAGTTTTTCGTTGCCGATTTTCTGGAAACCAATTTTTTTAATTCTTCTAATTTTTCGGGAAATAATTGACCGAATCTCAAAAAATTGTGTATGAAGTAGGGATAGAATTTCCCAGGGAATGTCATAAAGTGTATAGTTTTTTGTTACCGATTTTCTGGAAACCGGTATCAGAAATTTTTACAATTTTTCGGGAAATAATTGACCGAATCTTAAAGATTTATAGATCAAACAGGGATAGAATTTTCCGGGGAGTACTATAAAATGTATAATTTTTCGTTACCGATTTTTTTGGAAACCGGTACCGAAATTTTTAAAATTTTTTGGGAATTAATTGACCGAATCTCAAAGAATTGTATATGAAATAGGGGTAGAATTTCTTGGAGAATGCTATAAATTGTATAATTTTTTGTTACCAATTTTTTTGAAAACCGGTTTAGAAATTTTTCCAATTTTTCGGTTCAAAAATTTTATTAATTTTTTGATGGGTTTAATTGCCACTGGAAACCAGTTCGTCTTCTGTCTGTCTGTCTGACCGCGAACTACTCATTTGTTAGTGGACTAAATTTTTACCAAAAGTGTATGAAATAGAAGTAGAATTTTCCGGGGAGTGCCATGATGTGTATAGTTTTTTGTTACCGATTTTCTGGAAACCAGTTTTTGTAATTACTCCAATTTTTTGGGAAATAATTGACTGAATTTTAAAGAATTGTATATGAAGTAGAGGTAGAATATATATTTCCCGGGGAGTGCCACAAAGTGTATAATTTTTTGTTACCGTTTTTTTTTTAATCGGTATCAAACATTTTTCCAATTTTTCAGGAAATAATTGAGTGAATCTCAAAGAATTGTATATGAAGTAGGAGTAGAATTTCCCGGGCAGTGCCATAAAGTGTATAATTTTTCGTTACCGATTTTTTTGGAAACCGGTTCCAAAATTTTTCCAATTTTTCCGGAAATAATTGACCGAATTAAAGAATTATGTATGATATAGGGGTAGAAAGAACTAAAGAATGTAATAGAATTAGAAAAATTGCTAATAGTAAAAGGGTTTCCGATTTCTGTTAAAAAAAAATGTACGTGATTGCTCCAATTTCTGCGAACTTTGAGATTTTAAGCTGAATTTTTTTTATGGATAATTTTTTGATACCGATTTTTTGGAAACCGGTTTGGAATTATTCAAATTTCGAGAAATAATAAGTATTAATTAACCAATTTTCTTGAAACCAGTGCCTAATTTTTTTTTAATTTTTGGAGGTTAATTTTAATTTTGCTTCCTCATAGAGGAAACTTTGTTTTCGTAAATTCGTATATGAACCTTTGTGTATAAAGTTGGCTCTAATCAACCAAAAATGTATTATTTAAAATTTAAAAGAATTATATATAAAATAGGGGTAGAAGAAACCAAAGAAAAGATTGTTTTTTGAGTTTTTGATGTCAATTAGTTCAGTGTTCTAAAACGTCGAAATATTGCATTTAAAAAAATGTCTGTATGTATGTATATATGTGTAATTATGTGCCAAATTTATCGAAATTTCTATAACTTCAGACCTAATCAACCAAATCTTAACAAATTATATATGAAATAGAGATAGAAAAAACTGAAGAATATAATAGAATTAATAAAAATTGTTAATAATAAAGGGGTTACCGATTTCTGTTAAAAAAAAACAGCCAAGTTTACTGAAATTTCTATAACTCAAGAACTAATTAACTAAATTTTAAAGAATTATATATGAAATAAGGGTAGAAAAAATTGAAGAATATAATAAAATTAATAAAAATGGCTAATAATAAAGGGGTTATCAATTTCTGTTTAAAAAAATCTACGTGATTGCTCTAATTTCCGCAATTTTTGAGATATCAAGCTTAATTTTTTTTTTATAGATAGAGTATCATTAAAGGTACGTTGGTGTTGAATTTATTATTTCCACGCACGTTTGATATTTGTTATTTGTGTAACAAGTGCGGGAAGTTGAGAATTGGACACGGGTGCGGAGTGGACGCACGAGCCGATAAACTTAATTCCTGCCGTTTTTTCGTCTCCAAAATTGATTTGCTTTGAAGGGAAGATGAATGAACCTTAATCAAAGTAATTTCCTCGATTTTCTACTACTTTTTCCCATTTCAATCCCACGACGGTAGAACGCGGTGTCTTTCGGGGTAATCCATTTATCTATCCATTTTTGGACTTCTTTGTAACTGGAGAAGTGTGTGTCCGTAAGTGCGTGTTGCATCGACCGGAAAAGATGGTAATCCGACGGTGCCAAGTCTGAAGAGTACGCTGGATGCGGGAGGACTTCCCATTCAAGCTCTAGAAGTGCCTGCTTCACGCTTTTCGCAACATGCGGTCGAGCATTATCATGCGAAAGAATGACTTTGCGTCGATTATTGGCTACGGATGGTCTTTTTTCCATCAATTCGTCACTCAATCGGCATAATTGCTGATGGTAGCGATTAGCTGTAACGGTTTCATTTGGACGCAAGAGCTCGTAATACAGCGCACCCTCCTGGTCCCACCAAATGCAGAGCAAGGTCTTATGCCCGTGAACATTTTTCTTCGGCGTTGAAGTGGATGGTTGGCCAGGGTTTACCCATGATTTTCTTCGCTTGGGATTATTAAAATAAATCCATTTTTCATCGCCAGTCACGATACGCCACAAAAAACTCTTTTTTCTTTGCCTGGCAAGCAAAGAAGTCGCGATAGACAAGCGATTCAAAATTTCATTTTCTGATAACTTATGTGGTAGCCATATCCCTTCTTTATGAATTTTTCCCATGGCATGCAAGCGTTTTGAGACGGCCATTGGAGTAACATTTAACGCTTTCGACAACTCTAAAAGCGTTTGAGCTGGATTCTCATCAAGCAATTCTTGCAGCTCAACGTCTTCAAATTTTTTTGGCTGTCCGGGACGTTCTTTGTCTCTCACGTCAAAATTACCGTTTCGAAAGCGTTCAAACCAAACTCTACATGTTCTTTCCGATGGAGTTTCGTCACTATATACTTCGGATAATAAGCGATGCGTTTCAGCTGCGGTTTTCTTAAGGTCGAAGTAGTGAAGAATCATGTCGGAAAAACAGCTTATCGCGGTTCATTTTTAATCGATTGGAAAATCTCTTTGGTTTCAAGAAATCTAATCTGTGAAGACTGAATCACTTTCAAGAATGTCAAAACTACAAAAAAATTGCGATTTGACCGCCGAAATTCGCCAGCGTTGGAGCTGGCGCCCTCTAGTAGCGAGCGGCAGGAATTAAGTTTACCACCTAATAGCAAGGATCGGTGAAAAGATTACCGATTTCTGGTTATTTTTTAAAATGTTCGTGGATGCTCTAATTTCCGTAAATTTTGAAATATCGAGCTTATTTCTTTTTTTTATGGATAGAGTGTCATTAAAGGAAGATTGTTATTTAATTTAGCGAGGATCGGTAAAAAGATTACCGATTTCTGCTTAAAGTGTATAAGATGTACATGTTATTTTATATAGAGATTATTAAAGG